GTAAGACCTGCCAGTGCACTCTTTTACTCATTATGTGCACATTATTCATTCGGACGTTTGAAATGTAGCCATGTTTCTTCCTCCAAAATCTTCCATCTGCTAAAACCACATGAGTTTCTTGATAGAGGATCGGCAGTAGACCTCTCCATTAGAAACTGACCGATTTTTTTTAATGGACGATGTTAATACTGATGGCTTAGAATCCAGAGCTACTGATGACCGATGAGCTCTCTGATTTTGATTATTTTCCCCAAATTACATCATTTTAGTTGATTAAAAACTCACCCACAGCCTTTTTTTTTTTCAGTTCAGACATGTTTTCAGCTGTTACGTCTTCAGGGTATCCCCAGGTTTGACTACTCCAAATTTAAGACTTTTTAAAGACCTTTTTAAGACCACTTCAATGAAAATTAAGACCTTCATTGCACTCATTATGCAGGCAAAAAACACCAGATCCATTTCTAATAATGACCAACCAACTACTGCATCTAGAATCTAAAAGCCACTGTGAATTAAACCTGCACTTCCTCATGATCCATCCAACGTCTTCCTCCACTCTACTGATGGTTTACTCATTGCCGCCGGTGCCAGAAACCAATGTATTGTTTGTTCAACGTTTATTCTGCTTAAAGGTTGTATGGAGGATTTTTTTTTTTCGTTTCAAATTGTCAATGAAAGTTTAAAATACCATTACAGAGATGCAGCAGCCTTGTAATTATGACCAAAAAAAAAAAAAGAATGAAAATCGATCAACTGTGGACATAGTGAGGCCAGACAAACATCAACCAATAGACAACCAGGCTACCTCATTTTCTATTGGCTGTTAGGTTGTCAATCAAACTCCCTACGTTTCTAGTGTAACTGACTCATGGCGTGCAGGGATTACGTGGTTTATGCAGCGGTTCTTAGAGGCTTTTTTAAACTGTAGCTTCCTCGCAGTTCGCACAAAGTTTGTTGCAATGGCGGACGAGAATCCACGACTGGTTCGCCACAAGAGAAAGTCCATTTTTGAGGTCGCTGAAAGAAGAAGAGAAGTGGAAAAGGAGCGAAGCCAAACTCAGGTGATTCTTGGAGATTCCTTCCAGCAGTGGCACGAATGAAGCAGACGAAGGGTCTAAAAACTGAAGCGTCGGTCACCAAACAACAGTAATTCAACAGTAATTCTGAACACGCACTGGCTGTAAACAAGCGTGATTTCTAGAGTAAAGAGGCGGGAGGAGGTGTTTCTGCTAAGGGAGCTGTGGAGGAGGAAGGTGGTGTCACGCATGCACAACATTTGAAAAAGGACTGTCGCTGTATTTCTCTTCCCTTAAAAAATCCTCTATACAACCTTTAAAGTAAATGAGTAAACGTTTATTCTGCTTAAAAAATAATTCCGGTCATTCAGCACATGCGCGTTGGATCACCCTTTTGACGCGATGACGCACTGCAATGTGGTAGTGATGGGCAAATGAGTCGGAGCTCTGGAGCACGTCTCGTTCTTTCTGAAACAAATTGCTCTGAAGCGCTGCCTCGGAGCTCGTCTCGCAGCAGCCGCTCACATGACCAAAGCGTGGAAGTGTCGGTCCCTCCCCCGACTGCTTCACTCTGCGTGTCAATCGCTTCAGTGCATCGAAGTGTTTCATTGGCTCAACGAATGTTCCGCTCTGTGATTGGTTCAGAGTGTTCAGCGCACTTCTGTGGTTTGACAAACACTAAACTACTACAGTATAAAAGATGCACCAATATTTCTTAAAAATGTGGGGGAGTGAGGAGTATTGTGTGACGTTAGTGGTGATTTTGGAGACTTTTGGCGACTTTTTTTTTGGCATTTGTTTCATTTTCGATGGCATCTACAAGTGGAAAAAAGCGATTCATGGTTTGGGATCACTTGGGGGTCACCTATTTTCTTATTTACAGCTGCTATTTATGTTGCTCTTTACATATTATTTTGAAATCATCATCATTATTGTTGTTGTTAGGTACGTGTCGCTCTGCACACAAGTATTGCCTTATTGTTAAATTTGTCCACTAGAGGTCAGTGTGTCTTCGAGGCCTCAGACACGTCAGACCATTTGAGACAATATCGCGACTGAGGTGTCAATGCTTCACGAGGCTCCATTCGCCCATCACTACAATATGGTCAAAAAAGTTCATATCATGTTTGTGTCCCTATACCTCTGTTTCCCGTTGCCTGTGTAATTGCGAAAGGTACCGAGGTTCCCCGTTAACATCGCGAGTCGTCCTCATCCCAAGTTATCATTATGAACTCATGAAACAGCAGCATGTGGCGTAGAACTTTACACAACTTTTACCGTTCTTCGAGTGGATGGGTCAGACAGGTCCATAGGCTCCGTCCTCCGTGTGCTGGGTCGAGGACCAGGGAATCCATGCGGCGAAAGTGAGAATGCGTTGTGGCTGCTCCTGTCCTCCGTGCTCGAGGAGTTCAGCTGGTACTGAGGTGCTGCAAAACATCCAGACAGAAGAGTGAATCCCATTTGTTTGTTTATATCTTGTTCTGAGCGTCCATCCTCCGTGCTCTTGGTTCTTCCTCGGGAAAACTCTTCTCAGGCTGAGTCACCTAACACCACTCCCCGCTCCAGCTGATCTGGGCCCGACCTGAACTGGAGCTGCTCCCGCTGGTTCTGGAGTCTGGGTTTGGGCCGCTGTTCCCCAGTTTGTTTGGACGGGGAAACAGCGCCCGCATCCCTACACATAACAACAAACCGAGGTGACAAAAAAGATGGTAGCAGCTGAAGTGTGTGTTTTCTTCCAGTCGACGTACAGTAAATACGTTCCCCTCCCCCAGACGTTGAACGGAATTAAATAAAGCTGATTTAAGGTGTTTTCCATGTAAACCTTAATTCAGAATTATTATTTCCATGTAAACTAATTTAATTCCGAAAAAACATCATGTAAACGTGGCCACTGTGGAACATTCCAGGCAGAGCAATGAAACAAGAAACCTAAAAATCCATAGAAACAAGCAGGTAACAGAGTGCAATTTTAGGCTTTTAAACTGATCTACATATACATTCCCAGTTTTTGCTTTACTAGAATATGAATATTTTCCTACGTACGACACAAAACCGATTCTTAAAAGTGTGTAAATTCCATGTAAATGACAAGACGGGGGGATGTAAATGAATTTGAATTTCCACGGGCAGAGGAAGAAGACAGCAGGAGAATCCGATTTTTGATTGGCACAGATATAATGAGATGAGCGGGTAAAACGAAGCTACACACACGAGCTGTTGATATGAGCGGCCCAGAGTGTTTCCAATGGCTTAAATCAATTATATCAACACCAAATATCACATTACATCAACAACGACATCAGCGGTGATTTCATTTTGGGAATTAGCGTCAGGATTCGATTAAGAAGCGGAATGTTAATTACTTAGAACGACTAAATTGCATGAGAAAAAAAAAAAAAGGAAAGAAGAGGAGAAGAAAAGAAAAGAAATCCTCCTATCAATTATACACAACTGATTTGAAATTTTAACCCTCGTAATCATAAGAATTTCAAAATATGGTAAATTTTTATAAGTACTTAATAATAACACAAAAATTTTAATCATTTGCAGACTAATTTTTTTTGTTTTGTTTTTGTTTGTTTTTTAAAGGTGCATTGTGTAACTTTGTCTTCTTCGTTTTCAACTTTCGTCATCTTCTCGTCTCCATGGTGATGTTATTACTTTGCCTTGGATGTTCCACAGTATGGCTTTAATCAAATATAGTATCTTTATTTATTTATTCAATTACTGGTGTTTTTATTTCTCAAAACTACCACAAAAATGTGAATTATTTCTGTCAGCGGGTCCATTTCTCCACAGATCTGACCTGTAACTTGACCCAATGATGTGGGCTGCTTGTCTCCATGGAGATAGTTCAATGAAAAGCCATACTGCGGAACATTTCAGGACAAAAAAAACAAACAAACAACAACATGGAGTCTAGCAGGCGGCAGACCTTCTACCGGAAAACTTACACAGTGCATCTTTAAAGATAAGTTAAAGGTGAACCATGTAACTTTTCTGTCTTTATCACATGCTTGTCCCTATGGAGACGTTATAGCTTTGCCTGAAATGTTCCAAAGTATGGCATTAAACATTTGATGCGACCATGGAGATGTTATCAGGCCCAGTTTCAAATCAAACCAATCAAATTAAATCGAAAGGAAGTATGCGTGTCTTTCAATCATCATCATCGTTTTAATTCCATACTGTGGAACATTCCAGCATAAGCAATTTGCATCGCCATGGAGACCAGCACTAGAAAAGTTCCATACCGTATTTTTCGGACTGTAAGTTGCTCCGGAGTATAAGTCACACCAGCCAAACAATGGAGACACTATCAGGCCTAGTTACATATCAGATCTGTGGAGAGTTGAGTCCTCTGAAAGTAAGAATGCATGTCTTTCAATCATCATCGTTTTAATTCCATACTGTGGAACATTCCAAGCTAAACAATTTGCATCGCTATGGAGACCAGCACTAGAAAAGTTACATACTGTATGTTTCGGACTAAAAGTCGCTCTGGAGTATAAGTCGCACCAGCCAAAAAATGCGTAATGAAGGAAAAAAAACATATGTAAGTTGCACTTTTGGGGGGAAATTTACTTTATAAAATCAGAGACCAGGAACCGACATTTCATCTTGAAAGTCAAATTCTAGTAAAAACAGTAGAAGAGAGAATAACAAACTGTTAACGTCACATATGAACAGTTCTTCAGATAAACTATAACATAAACAACAGAACAGAACAAGTTTACCAAACTCTCCATCTCACTCCAAATCACTAAATCCATTCAATTCTTCATCCTCGGTGTCACTTCTGAACAACTCGGCCTCGACCTCCGGAGGTAAACGTAGCGCCGCTTCCTCTTCTGTGTAGCTGTCGTCAGACTCAGCATCAGTTCCAGTTAGAATTATTTCGGTCTTTCTGAATCCCGACAGGATGGTTTCGGTGTCACTGAAGTCGAGGTTTTGTCCATCCATCCAGTGACTTCAGGAAAGTTG